GTACGTGCGCGTTATGCGTACGTTGAGCGATAGTTTGCTTGGATGTTTTCACATCAACACAATTAATTTTAAGGCATCAAGGTTTTACGATTATCCTTTGAGGTCAATGCACATCCTTTAAACACAATTACTGTACGAAATATAGACAAGGAGAACTTGTGACTACCAGATCCTTTCAGACTACAAAACTACACGTACGGAGGACAGACCACGTACTTCCCAAAATAATGTTCCTAAGACCAAGACTGAAAGGCAAGTTCTCAACCGACACAGCCTATTTCAACCACAAGTCGATACGAGGCAACATTGCAAGCCAGATCGATTTCCACAAGAGCGGTTTCTACAGTTGCCATCATCTCTCAAAAGTGGACGACAAGCAAGTTGGGCCAACCCTCAAGAAATTCATAGCTGACTACGGTATACCAGAGCACCTCACGATGGACGGAGCAGCAGGACAAGTGGGACGCAACACAATCAACAGAGCCGCAATTAACTGTCACATCTCCAGACCATACCGACTGGAAGAAAACCCAGGGATCAGAGAGCTCAAGCGACAATTCTACAGATTGATAGTCAAGCATGCGATACCAGAACGGCTATGGGACTTTGTGCTTGATTATGTGGTTGATACCATGAATATCACCGCCAACTACTCAAGACATTCTGACGGACAAGTACCGCTTGAAGTGATAACCGGGATCACGCCGGACATTACAGAATACATGGACTAATAATAATAACTGAGACATTAATCGTTAATATGCTACTCTGTGGGCATCCGATTGCCGGTGAAATATTCGGCTGTAAAGGTCAAGTACTGTGAAGCGGTGATTCAACAACAAGTTTGAACCATTTGAGGCATCTGTATTTTTGAACAGAAGGTGCTCAAGTCTCCCAAAGGGGTAAAGACTTCTCCCGCGACGTGGCGGGGTGAATTTGGGGCATGTAAGGTCCCGCGAAAACTTGGTCAGGGTCCAGGGGAGAAAATAGTCCGCAGACTGCGGCGTTGTGCTTTCATGGAGCGACGGAAATCTATGCGTTCCTGACAAAGCAACTTAAGCCACTCTTCCTTGTCTACCAATGACTTGTGAAGGACTCGTTGATGGCATGTTAGCATCGGTTGAATTTCCTTAGGCAAGTCATCGGGACCCATATCAAACTGTGAGTGAATCCCCTCATTGACAGTACTGTGACGTTCACATAGTTGAACGTTATCATCCGAATGTTGAACGGAGTTCCGTTGCTCCCACATGTAGAAGCCGATCGAGATCAGCTGTTGTGAGAGGCGGGATGCCCAAAGAGAGACAGATCGTCGACATCTTATCTTGTCATAATATTGTTGTTGGAGTGGAAGCCAAGACAAAGCGATGCGTCCCTCCAAAAGGCCTTGAGACCCAATCACCTGCTGAGCCAAGAAGGCCGGCCGAACCGAAGAGGAGATGGGCCTTGGGGGA